AGAAAATGAATGAAATGTAAAAACACTGCTTTTTCGAGCATTTTTAAAATTTTGAACACGAATTACAGCCCAACGGCTAAAACCACAGTAATATATCACTACTTGCTACATTCCCCAAACATTCAGCTTTCATATGCATCTTTTGGATTCATTCTGTCTATTATAGTTTTCGAGAAAATCGATGAAATGTGAAAACACTGCTTTTTCGAGCATTTTTTAAACTTTGAATGCAAATTACAGCCATACGGATAATACCACAGTAATATATGAATACTTGCTATATTCCCCAAACATTCATATGCATCTTTTTGATTCATTCTACCTATTACATTTACAGAGAAAATTAATGAAATGCGAAGACGCGGCTTTTTCTAGCGTCAATTTCGCTTGATCTTAATATTTTCGACTCGCGATATTTTCGTTTCACTCGCAATAAAGACCGTTTTGCGTCACTTTACGATCTCCGCGAAGGTAATAATATTTGCAACGATGGAGCAATTACAAATGGTGGAATGCAGAGCGGAAAAGTCGGATCATTACAAGAACAGCAGAAAAAATAATGCGCACACGATTTTGTATATTTAGCGCAAAACGATCACCGGTTGTACAGTTTTATTTGCAATTTTTTTTTTGAGTACGTGTGTTCTGTTCCTTCAACCAAGGTTTCACGAAAACAAAGTGTAAACGTCCAGTTGAAAATAGCTTCGAACAATGTCAGTCAGTCAGCTGCGAAACGGTTGGCATACGGGATTCGTAAGAAAATACGATTTTTGGAGAAAGTCTTGAGTTTTTATAGCTTTGATTATTATCCCAAATCATCTCATGATGAACTTCTTATTGCGAGTTTAAACTTCTTTATTGTCGCGTAACTTCTATTGGCACGTATTCAGAGGAGAAGCGTGTGGTCTTTACTCATTTGCGATTCACATTTAATTCTGATTTGGTGCCGCGATTTTCGGAAATTTTCTATATTTAAATCCAAAAAGAAAAATAGACAGACACAACTTCTCAAATATGAATAATACACTTGATGTTTCTTACTACACAAAATACATTAAAAACTAATTCACTATAATTAATTAATCGAAGTATAGACAGTATATTCATAGTTTTTGATTCTACAAAAGTTAGATAACTCTAATTTTAGTAAAATTCAAAGTAATTGCAGTAAATTAATGATGACCGAAACTCTTTAGATCGTCGTCAAAGAGGAAACGATTAGATCCATTTAATTGGTGAGAATACTCCGAATTCCTTGTCAAACATCCAAACGACACGCGCTCATTTCCGTGCATTCGTCTCGTTTCATTTTGTCCTTAATCTTATCATTCCTCTGCACTCAACATCCCCGAAGAGTTTTCGCTCTTCAATCATTTGTTAGCAAAGTAGAGAGCTATTCCATTCCAAAATGGATCTTCTCACTTTGTTACTTTGTGTTATTGGAAGCGAGCTAATTAATTTTTAATGGTTTTCTATTTGCAATTATTTTCACGAAACACGGCTTTCTTAATGGTAATTACGGATTGACGCTGTTTCTATTCTATATATACATCGTTTTTTTTTCTTCTTCTGCTTCTTTACTCTCACAACAATACAAAGTGTTGTTCAGATTGCGGATTTCTCTTTCCTCCTGATTTTCATATTGCCCTAATTTTTCTATTTAATTTTCATTAAGAAATGGAATGAACTTCTTAAAACACGACAAGTACTTGAGTTACTTGGCAACTTACTTTCTAAACATATATCACAAATAATATGTGTTTACAAAGTAAATAAATAAGAACTATATTTTGATAACTAATCATTTAGTACAAGTTTTCACAATATATACTGACACTTATTAATACTGCGGAGTTGTGAGTAAGTTATTTTCGTGTAACATTACATAAACATATCGGTGGAGAATCCTTGCAGGAAACTCTCACAATTATCTTTCGTTTTTTTTTTCGCTAAAACTTTTTCTCCCATCTCTGTCGAACCTCAAAGTCGAAGAAGATAAATATAGACTGCAGATTCTAGTACACACACACACTCTGATCCAAAACACGCACGTCTCCAATTGGCATCCGACTATAAACAAGGGAGCCTGGACGATTTTATTGAAGTTCAGGTGTGCGGCGATTTCGTCCTTGCACACTACCTGTTGCGAAAATCTTTCTCATCATTTTCAATGAAATTCGATCGTGATCATACTTATTCGTGGAGCGAGCAAACTTTTCCCATCGGATTCAACGAAATCCATCCAGAGGCCCGACAGACGGAAAGTGCTTGTGTTTTATGGATCGTTATTATGCGAATAATAATAAATAAACTATAAATAAATCGCCTGCCGAAGTTTTCAACTTTGTGTTAGTTTTAATGTTCGCCTCGTTCTAATGGAATATACATGTTTCAAACTGTGTTTTATTATTTGTTATGAAACTTTACATCCGAGATCTTAATACATTTAAACACACAAAATTATGGTTTATTTAATTGCGGTTCACGTATGCATGCATGTGCTTCTAAATTAGTTGCAGAGATATTTCCTTTCAACGTTACTAATGATGCAAACATTTCGAAGGATTTTCGTATCGTTTGGAAATAAATGATGAAAATTGCATATTCTAAACGATTCTTTATATATTTAGCTTTTTCATACACCGTTTGACGTTCCAACACATCTAAATCGGTTCGTCGAATATCCGGGGAAAGGTGTAGGTGTTACTGTTTCTGAATGTTAACAAAATTGTATGAAGTCATCTTTGCAAGCGCTTTGTTGAAAACCAAAACGTTGCATAACACTCAAATTTACATCAATTAATTACTTGTTTAATAAGCTTTCAGACGAGTATTTAAAAATAAATGTATCTAAAATTATTCTTAAGATATTCACGAAATACTGAAAGTATGTTTGTTTTTTAATAATTACATTTATTCCACAATCACTTAGCAATTACATGTTTTTTTTTATTGTAAAGTTTTATTATGTCTTAATCTATTATTTAGATATAAGAAATAGAATCATTGGAAGATGATGCGTTTTCTCTATTATTTCATTCATGAATTTACTCACTTTCAAAGTTGCTTAGGTTTTCTTCCAAGGCACTTGCTTGATGCTCTTCCTCGATTTGCTCGCCTCGTACAAATCCCTGGGAACGTTTCCCACCGTCGAAGTGGCCCTCATGCTTCTCCTCCTCCTGTCGGGCTTCTCGATCTTCTCAACCTTTTCGACCTTATTCTCTTTCTGCTCCGTCGACACCACCTCTTTACCCTCGCCCAATTTCAGGACCTTCGGCGACGACGATCCCTGCGCCTGAAACACGTTCCTGCTCATCACCATGGTCTCGGGGATGCTGATGCTTCCGCTCCGTCCACCGACTCTCTGCGTCTTCGTCTGACTGTTGAGCGAGAGAAAATCGGGTTGCCTTCGGACGCCCAAACCACCTACAGCCTCCCTAAGCGCTCCCTTAGCTAGAGCTCTGATGGACCAATCTCCGTCCCGTTTCGTTCTGCGCTTCTTCACCTGCGTCCTTATGTTCACCATCACAGATTTTCGGCTTCTCTTCCTCTTCCGTCTGAAGAAAAACTCAAATATACCCATAGTTAGTTATTGCACTGACAATTTCACAATTCTGACACTTTGCAATCTTGTTATATCACAGCAATTGTCTGAGTTACTTAGCAACGATTGATACGACATTAATCTTACAGAAGTCTTAGTCATTTCAACAAACAATACTTAATATGATAGTTTATACTTGAAAAAAAAAATAGATACTAAGAAATAATTCATGATATTTAAATTCAATTTTCGAAACTGCAATATTGTATATACCCAAAGTTATTTCAATATTCTGACACTTTACAATCTTGTTATGTCACAGCAATTGTCTCAGTTACTTAGCAACGATTGATACGATATTAATCTTACAGAAGTCTTGGTCATTTCAACAAACAATACTTAATATGATAGTTTATACTTCAAAAAAAAAAATAGATACTAAGAAATAATTCATGATATTTAAATTCAATTTTCGAAACTGCAACATTGTATATACCCATAGTTATTTCAATATTCTGACACTTTACAATCTGGTTATGTCACAGCAATTGTCTCAGTTACTTAGCAACGATTGATACGACATTAATCTTACAGAAGTCTTGGTCATTTCAACAAACAATACTTAATATGATAGTTTATACTTCAAAAAAAAATAGATACTAAGAAATAATTCATGATATTTAAATTCAATTTTCGAAATTGCAATATTGTATATATTCATAGTTATTTCAAAATTCTGACACTTTACAATCTGGTTATGTCACAGCAATTGTCTCAGTTACTTAGCTACGATTTATACGACATTAATCTTACACAAGTTTTAGTAAATTCAACAAATAATACTTAATATGATAGTTTATACTTTGAAAAAAAAATAGATACTAAGAAATAATTCATGATATTTAAATTCAATTTTCGAAACTGCAACATTGTATATACCCATAGTTATTTCAAAATTCTGACACTTTACAATCTGGTTATGTCACAGCAATTGTCTCAGTTACTTAGCAACGATTGATACGACATTAATCTTACAGAAGTCTTAGTCATTCAACAAACAATACTTAATATGATAGTTTATACTTCAAAAAAAAAAAGATACTAAGAAATAATTCATGATATTTAAATTCAATTTTCGAAACTGCAACATTGTATATACCCATAGTTATTTCAAAATTCTGACACTTTACAATCTGGTTATGTCACAGCAATTGTCTCAGTTACTTAGCAACGATTGATACGACATTAATCTTACAGAAGTCTTGGTCATTTCAACAAACAATACTTAATATGATAGTTTATACTTCAAAAAAAAAAAGATACCAAGAAATAATTCATGATATTTAAATTCAATTTTCGAAACTGCAACATTGTATATTTCAATATTCTGACAATTTACAATCTGGTTAT